AGTTTGTTTTCTGTGTCTGAGTCTATTTCTAAACAGGTTCCTTTTAAGGTTGTGCCCTTGTAGTTACACTCAACACTCCCACGACCATCCTGTTGGTCAGAATTTAGTCCCGTGGTCATACTGAACCGCAAGGGAGGTTGAGAAATATAGTCTAAGTAGGCAGCCGTGTGCCTGGTTAAACCACGGAGGAGTTCTATTACCAAAAGAAAGAAGAGGGATATCGAACAGCACTTTCTAGCCTGTGCCCCATCAGGCTCCTTTGCTCTTGCTGGGATCTACTTTCTGTTTCCCTTCACTTCATTTTGCCCCCTTGGGGCTTTGGCTAATTGCACTCACCTCCTGCCCCTGAGCCGCCCTTCACCTGGGACTGCTTTCTAATTTAGGAGAAGACATAGAATTGTTTCCTAAATGGACCACACCCGCTACCTCATCATCAGTTGTCCCCCGATATTCATAATTTCTCTAATGATCACCCCGACCTTCACAGTGAACTCAGGGGTGAGTTGCAAATGTTTCTAGCTGGTCTCTGGTAACAGGGTTTCCTCGCACTTACTGGCCCGCACACCTGCTGTGTGGCCTCCCCAGCCCGAGGTCCACCATCTTGCTCTGCCTTCCACATGCAGCGTCTTAGGTCCTATCTGCCCACCCCCACTATCGAATCTTCCAGTCTCAGTCTCTACCAGCCTGGTCACTACTCCCAGGGACCTTGGCTCCTGGCCCCTACCCTTCCCTCAACCCCTGCTCTGGGATGTCAGAATTCAGTCTAACCTTCTCTGTGTTGGTCTCTCATGTCTCAGCAGACCTCCCAGTGCTGGGTAGTTGACGTAGTTTGCACTCAACTAAAATTTAGGAAACTATTAGAATAATTATAATAGAGGCAAAGGAAATGGATGCATGTTGATGCGTGTAATATTTATAGGAAGAATTAAAATTATCTTCTAATCACATTATTTGTTGACTATCATATATAGGTGCTTTACATACTCTAATTCATTTCATTCTTCTTCGTTTTTAGCTACTTACATCAAATTATCTTCCTTAGATGGGAGGCAGAGCCATGCCTTCTACCAGGAAAGTTGATGAAGCATCGTATAGGCAGAATACATGGATCTAAAATGAAGGGTGGAAATATGTGTGAGGCTGCTCACACTTACATCCAAATGACTCACAGGCAAAATGTTACTTCCTGCACCTATGACTTTGGGCTCTTGTCTTTAAGGAAGTCTCTTGTCACCTGACAACACAACAGTTGTTCCACTGACTGGAATACATACCATTTCCCAGTTTTTCAGGCTTCTCATGCTAAAGGATAAACAAGACAAAATAATGGGGGGGGGAATTATAATTTTGACTGGGGTAATTGATCTCGATTTTTAAAGGGAAATAGAGCTGCTGGTGCACAGTGACTAGAATCTGGACAGTCTGCTCTTGCCATGTCCCAGGGAAAAATATAAGAGCAATCTCCTCCATTTGTGCAGGACCTTCCAAGGCTCAGAATCCTCAGGAAAGAAGGTTTGGGTCTCTCTACCTGGCAAAGAGATGCTTGCTGAAGACAGAATATAAAGATCAGAAATCCAGACTACAGCTTCTTGAGTAGTTACAGACGTCTGCGACCTCAATCTGTGTTTCTCAATATGTGATATTTTATAGGTACTTATAGTTTTATTATGAAATAGAAAATATACTTAACTTTTTAATCCCTTTCCCCACTGCTATTCTGTACTTAGCATATGTTGGTAGTGAACTTTACCATTTTGATTTATGAATTCAGTACATCAAGACAGACTTGTAACACAGGTAGAAAAGGAACAGAGTTCAGCTGGAGACGCCGCCTGAGAGCTGGATGCAACTGAGTGAGTGATGGGATCTTAGGTTGGCTCCCCTGAAGACCGGGGATATGCTTTCAGATGGCTGAGTGAATGCAACACTGTGTTTGGTGGAAACATTTGTTTTTGTTTTAGAAGAAAAGATGGAATGAAGAATGTATTATGATATTAGGAAGTCAAAGAGGTGGGCTAGAATGGAAATTTGTAATTCATTGATGCCTGGAAGCAAAATCCTTCCTACCTTGGAAGAGTCCAAATTAGGTGGAGGCAAAATTCCCCTCCCACTACCAGAGCCCAAGCGGGCAGACATTCTCTCTTCTCACTCCCTGGCAGCCAGGGCACATGAGAAGGCTCAGCCCACTGGGCACTTCTACTAGGGATGTTGAGTCATGAGAAAGTGACACAAGAGGGACTTCCCTGGTGGCTCAGTGGTTAAGAATCTGCCTGCCAATGCAGGGGACACGGGTTCGATCCCTGGCCCGGGAAGACCCCACATGCCACAGAGTAAGTAAGCCCATGTGCCACAACTACTGAGCATGCGCTCTGGAGCCCGCGAACCACAACTACTGAGCCCCCGCACCACAACTACTGAAACCCGTGCGCCCTAGGACCCATGCTCTGCAATGAGAAGCCACCGCAATAAGCCCACACACCGCAACGAAGAGTAGCTCGCGCTCACAGCAGCTAGAGAAAGCCCGCATAGCAACGAAGATCCAACACAGCCAATAAATAAATTAATCAAAAAAAAGTGACACTAGCAGCAGGGACGGCTGGAAATTAACAGGATGGTGGAGAGTGTCTATCAGGGCCCGCATGAGCATCCTTACCTGAGTGTCCCTGAGGTGTGATCTTGAATATACGCCCAGATGCATAATTGTCCTTGGTTACATTTTCGCCAGCCATTTCTTCAATTTTATGTGCTTTCAGATATCCTTCTTGTAAATTCCCTTCCTGCTTGATAAACTCTCCTTGGTTTTCCGTGTTTGTAATCAAGAGCTCAGACTGGGAAAACCATAATATTTAGTTGTTTTTTTATGTTTAGTTATTTGGATTCTTTTCATTTTACCGTAAGTAGTGTGGCAATGAATTATCCCCAAAGCTCCTCCCCCCAGCCCCCCGTGTTTAAGATTTTTTTCTTCATGTACAGGTTTAACTGGTCTCAGGATAGATCATGCTATACATTGTCAAATTACTTCACAGTGAATAGGAGATACTGTTTTCACTGAATCTTTGTCTTGGTCACATCAAACTGATACAGTAAGTAATAGAAGTTAAGATGATTTATCTGACATAACCGAGGAATGAGATTTTCCACCTATGTACATTTTAAAAAAGATAACCAAAGCTTACTATTTTCAACACCAAATTTTAGAAACCATAATCCCTTTTTAGTTACAGTCTTTCCAAAGTACATCACATATTTCCAACCTCATCAAACTGCAATCCCTGGAGGCCCACAGAGATGATGGGTTTACCTTTGCCCTTGCACTTGATTCCCCAGATCACTGTGCTTTCCTCATGACTGGGGAATTTTCGGTCCCTCTGGAACTCAACAGCCTCCCCAGATAGAGGACAGAAACTCTTCCCTCTTTAACCCTTTCCTCACTCTCTGGCCTATTACTTGTAGAGTCTGCCCACTGTAAAGGTAGAACAACTGAACGTAGCTATTTCAAACAGATCACCATGCTTGCAAAACTAAGTCTATCATCTGTACCAAGTTGAAATTCATCATCCTAGTGGGAAAGTTGGAGTGTGTTCCACTCTCTACATTGGCGTAAACAATCATGTTTGTGATAGTCGTGTTCTTCGTCTGGTTCATTCTGTGGGCTGTTCGTTGGTGGAAGTTTCCAAAAGTCCAAGTGCTGGATGCATGGAGGATTACAACCATGTGTTTCAAGAGACACTTCTGGGGTGGTCCTTCCCGTAGAAAAGTTTCATCCTATTCTTCAGAATCACCAGGGAAACTGCGATTTTCCTTAGTAACCTACATCTAAAGAAATTCCATACTTATATGGAATCCTAAAGCTCCATTGTTGCATTTTTAAATCCATCTGTTATGAGTGAGTCCTTAATGGAAATGGTTCCAGCTGCTTTTTCTCTTTTATACATCAGTGTTGATGTATATGATTTCTCATTCACAAACGTGAATTGAAACGCTCAAATTCCCTTAAAATAATCCCTCCAAAGGACAGTGTTCACAGTGTGCTCTGTCATACAACATACGTGCAAGAAAAGTTAATATGAAATCACAGATCCATTCTGAAATGAAACAATCTGACCTTTTATACTAAACAATAGCAACATGATTGCTAGTCTTTTAAAAATGAGCAGATCTTACAGCAAAAATGCGTGCAGACAGATTATGAAAAGTAGCTCAATATTTATCTTCTTGTATATTGTTCTAAGTGCCATTTGGGAAAAACAGAATCCTTTGGTTGAGAGAATGAATATGTAGGAGAGTGGGTGTAAAAATGAGTTATATTTTGAACTGTATGCATTCTATTCAGAACAGAATAAGAGTTTTACAGACAAAGCAAATCCAGAGAGAAACTACAGAACAGTCTAGTATATCCCATCCATATTTATGCCATCCTAGTATTAGAAATATTGATTTAAATTTGTTTAAATTTATTTTATTGTGGTAAGAACATTTAACGAGATTTACACTCAACGCTTAAGTGTACATTATCATTGACTATATGTATAACATAAGGCAGATCTCTAGAACTTACTCATCTTGCTTAACTGAAACTTTACTCCCATTGATGAGAACTCCCTACTCCCCCCACCCCAGCTGCTAGCAACTTATTTAACACTTAAGTTCACTGGACTGAAATGAGTTTGAATACATACTTATTTGTAGATTTGTACTTGTTATATGTACATATGTCTATATCTATTGTATGTCATATTTAGGCTATGAAAGGAAAGGAAGGCAAAAGGAAAGGTTTCTGAAACCAGAGATGATCCCTTTACTACTCCCTTTCTATTCCATATAAAGTGGCATTGCCTTGGCCAAGCTTCACTCCCCAGCTACACTGGGCAAGGAGAGGGCTCAGGGACAGAGGCAGAAGAGGCTGACCATTTGTGCGTCCCAACTTCAGCACTGCACCTCAGGTTTGCTCATGAGAAGCCAGAAACGAAGGCACAGGTGATTTTGCACTTTAACTCCGCCTAACTGTAGCAGGTAGCATATTTATTTTCTTGCTCAATAATTTCTTTTTTAATGGCAATGACTTGACCTTCCAACTGTTTCAGCTGATCAGCTTTTTCTTGTCTACTTAGATTCAAAGCTTGGATCTTTGTTTCTAAATCTTAAAGAAGAAAATGGAGTAAATGTTTAATTAGGTCCCATTTGTTTATTTTTATTTTCATTACTCTAGGAGGTGGATCAACAGAGATCCTGCTGCGATTTATGTCAGAGTGTTCTGCCTATGTTTTCCTCTAAGAGTTTTATAGTATTCAGTCTTACATTTAGGTCTTTAATCCATTTTGAGTTTATTTTTGTGTATGGTGTTAGAGAATGTTCTAATTTCATTCTTTTACATGTAGCTGTCCAGTTTTCCCAGCACCACTTATTGAAGAGACTCTCTTTTCTCCATTGTATATTCTTGCCTCCTTTGCCACAAATTAGGTGACCATAGATGCGTGGGTTTATCTCTGGAGTTTCTATCCTGTTCCACTGATGTATATTTCTGGTTTTGTACCAGTACCATATTGTTTTGATTACTGTAGCTTTATAGTATAGTCTGAAGTCAGGGAACCTGATTCCTCCAGCTCCATTTCTCTTCCTCAAGATAGCTTTGGCTATTTGGGGTCTTCTGTGTGTCCATACAAATTAAAAATAGAGCTACCATATGATCCAGCAATCCCACTCCCAGGCATATATCCAGAGAAAACCATAATTTGAAAAGATACATGTACCCCAATATTCATTGCAGCACTATTTACAATAGCCAGGACATGGAAGCAACCTAAATGTCAATTGATGGACGAATGGATAAAGAAGATGTGGTACATATATATAATGGAATATTATTCAGCCGTAAAAAGAACAAAATAATGCCATTTGCAGCAACGTGGATGGACCTAGAGATTGTCATGCTGAGTCAAGTAAGTCAGACAGAGAAAGACAAATAACATATGACATTGCTTATATGTGGAACTAAAAAATGGTACAAATGAACTTATTTACAAAACAGAAATAGAGTCACAGATGTAGAAAACAAACTTACGGTTACCAAGGGGGGAAGGGGAGAAGGGATACACTGGGAGATTGGGATGGACATACACACACTACTAGGTATAAAATAGATAACTAATAAGGACCTACTGTACAGCACAGGAAACTCTACTCAATACTTTGTAATGACTTACAAGGGAAAAGAATCTACAAAAGAATGGTATATGTATATGTGTAACTGATTCACTTTGCTATACAGCAGAAACTAACATAACATTGTAAATCAACTGTACTCCAATAAAAATTAATTAAAAAAAGAAAGTGGAGTAAATGATATCTATTTGATAGAATCCTCCTGGATACCCATGTTATACCAAACACAGGGATTTATATGTCAATTAAGGACATACTTAGTTTTCTGTTTTGATTCAATGGATAAAGCACTTATTTTCACCAGATTTCTCAAGGTTTTCACCTAAATCAGCAAATTGATATTTTTGTCTAAAGCTAGTTAGAATTCATTAGAAATGAAAAGACAGAGGACAAGCCTTGATTGGATTTGGTGAAGTGCTGTATTTTCAAAGGTTTGTTCTTCCTATATTCACTTTTTTTTAAACATCTTTATTGGAGTATAATTGCTTTACAATGGTGTGTTAGTTTCTGCTTTATAACAAAGTGAATCAGTTATACATACACATATGTTCCCATATCTCTTCCCTCTTGCATCTCCCTCCCTCCCACCCTCCCTATCCCACCCCTCTAGGTGGTCACAAAGCACCAAGCTGATCTCCCTGTGCCATGCGGCTGCTTCCCACTAGCTATCTATTTTACGTTTGGTAGTGTATATATGTCCATGCCACTCTCTCACTTTGTCACAGCTTACTCTTCCCCCTCCCCATATCCTCAAGTCCATTCTCTAGTAGGTCTGTGTCTTTATTCCTGTCTTGCCCCTAGGTTTTTTATGACCATTTCTTTTCTTAGATTCCATATACATGTGTTAGCATACAGTATTTGTTTTACTTTTTCTGACTTACTTCACTCTGTATGACAGACTCTGGGTCCATCCACCTCACTACAAATATCTCAATTTTGTTTCTTTTTTTGGCTGAAAAATATTCCATTGTATATATGTGCCACATCTTCTTTATCCATTCATCTGACGATGGACACTTAGGTTGCTTCCACGTCCTGGCTATTGTAAATAGAGCTGCAATGAACATTTTGGTACATGAGTCTTTTTGAATTATGGTTTTCTCAGGGTATATGCCCAGTGGTGGGATTGCTGGGTCGGATGGTACTTCTATTTTTAGTTTTTTAAAGAACCTCCATACTGTTCCCCATAGTGGCTGTATCAATTTACATTCCCACCGACAGTGCAAGAGCGTTCCCTTTTCTCCACACCCCCTCCAGCATTTATTGTTTCCAGATTTTTTGATGATGGCCATTCTGACTGGTGTGAGATGATACCTCATTGTACTTTTGGTTTGCATTTCTCTAATGATTAATGATGTTGAGCATCCTTTCATGTGTTTGTTGGCAGTCTGTATATCTTCTTTGGAGAAATGTCTATTTAGATCTTCTGCCCATTTTTATATTGGGTTGTTTGTTATTTTGTTATTGAGCTGCTTGTAAATCTTGGAGATTAATCTTTTGTCAGTTGCTTCATTTGCAAATATTTTCTCCCATTCTGAGGGTTGCTTTTCATCTTGTTTGTGGTCTCCTTTGCTGTGCAAAAGCTTTGAAGTTTCATTAGGTCCCATTTGTTTATTTTTGTTTTTATTTCCATTTCTCTAGGAGGTGGATCAAAAAGGATCTCGCGGTGATTTATGTCATAGAGTGTTCTGCCTATGTTCTCCTCTAATAGTTTGATAGTTTCTGGCCTTACATTTAGGTCTTTAATCCATTTTGAACTTATTTTTGTGTATGGTGTTAGGGAGTGAGCTAATCTCATACTTTTAAATGTAGCTGTCCAGTTTTCCCAGCACCATTTATTGAAGAGGCTGTCTTTTCTCCACTGTATATTCTTGCCTCCGTTATCAAAGGTAAGGTGACCATATGTGCATGGGTTTATCTCTGGGCTTTCTATCCTGTAAGGGTTCATCACTTTAGGGCTTCCCAATCTTTCAGGAAACAGACCGAAGACATTTTTTTAAAAGACATGTTCATTTCTTCATTCTTCTCTGCTGATATGGAAGTCCCTGAACAATAAAAGCAAAGTGATGCTTTTCACTCTTATCCATCCATGCATCCATCTATGATTCCATCCATGCATCTATCCATGAATCCATCCATGCATACATCCATGTGTCCATCCATGCATCCATGCGTGCATGCATCCATGCATGCATGCATCCATGCATCCACTCACTTATCCATTCTTCATCCAACAAATACCTGAGAATTATAGTAAACCCTAACCAGGAGCCCACAGAGTAGTGGATGGAAGAGGCACTGAGAGCTATAGTTAAGAGTGTGAAGTGGCCTTTAGAAAAGAAACTGGCCTTAGGTTGAAGTGGAACTTCTAAAGGAAGGAAGGTTAATGTTCCTCTTCACTTGGTCATATCACACCTGGATACTCAGTTGGTTTGGGGTAACTGTCAAACTAGCATGTAGCATGTGTTTAGAGAAACAAGCTAGACTGCTGGAGAAATATGAAATTGTCTTGTGAACAAAAGTTGAATTAACTTTTATGTTTACGTTTCATACAGAGAAAGAAGATTCAGGGCGTGTGCTATAGCTATTTTCAAGTATTTGTGGCCAGAAAAGCAGAGTAAATGTGTTTTTGGTCATCCTGAGGACACAGAATGAAACGAGCAGGTGAAAGCTCCATGAAGGAAGATTTTTGTCTGAATATAGAGAACTTTCTAGTAGTCACAGCAGTTCAAAGACTATGGAGCTGCTTTTGGAAGGTGGTGAGCATTCTATCGCCAGAAACTTTCAAATACGGGCCATTGGGGATTGAACAGGGGAGTCAGCATTGGAAGGGTATCTGTACGAAAAGAAAAATAGATCCTTGGGTTTCTACCGAGGAAGTTAACAAGATCGTGCTGGATACTTTTCATTTGCCCCACCAGATCCTTGACCCATCCTGCTCTGTGTCTTGGAAAGAAAGGCAGCCTCCACAGATGACATCACCTGGCTCCCTGGACCTCTGGCTTTCGTTCACACTTGGCCACTGGCCAGTCCTGAGAAGTGATCAGAGGGTGGCAAGAGCGAGCAGAATGCACCCTTGGTGAGCAGCAGGGTTCTGGCAGTCCTGCCCTCTCTCAAGTCCAGCTCCTGCAGGGCGGCCTCCTCCCTTCTGTCCTCGTGCTCACAGCGCTGCTTCCCAGCACGCACACTCCTCCTTCCCGTGGCTCATTCAGGTCCAGGGATGCTAATGGCTTCTCTGCTGGTCACCCAGGGCCTCCACACCCTTGGTTGATTCCCTTAATTCCTGTTTTTTTTTTTTTTTTTCTAGTTCCTTCCACCAAGAAATAGAGTCTATTTACCCTCTCTCCCCAAACCAGGTCCAGCTTTGCAAGTTGTTTTGACCAATAGAAAGTGGAAGAAATGATGTTGCTGGACCTCAATCAAGAGCCTCGCGCCTTCTGCCCATTCTTACGGAACCCTGTGACCACCAGGCTCTAAAGCAGCCTGGAATGAAAGACCCTGTGGAGAGAGGCCCAGCATCTCAGCCAAGCCTGGGCCCTGGCAGACCTGCCAGCTGACCCAAAAGACAATGCAGCTGCTTGAGTAACAGCCCAGGAGAGACCTGCACCACCCGGACAACCCACACACACACAGAGCACGCTTGTTGTTCTAAGCCATTACATTGGGGGAACAGTTTGTGATGCAGTAAACAGATAAGTGAGACAACTCTGCTTATAAACACACAATCCAGAATTACATCCAGGTGTGCTTTTTGTTTCTTGCTGGGATGCTGACTGACACAAAGCTCCACGGAGGGACCCTGGCTGCAGACTGGGGCCCACTCCCCACTCTCTCTGCTTTGACCTCGTCAAGTTAAGTCGGGACTCCTTTCTGGAATCCCATGGGCACCTCTTCCTAACCGATAGGAATAGAGCACAGACCTTGTGGTTCAGCCTCTTCTCAAGTGGCAGAGCTGGGAAGATGGCCAAACCACTGTCTTAGTTTCCTATCCTGTTGAATTGTGAAAACAGCCTTATGGTGAGAAGAAAACAAAAGTACTAGAATGCATTACTTTTGACCTGAGAAGCCACCTGACTCAAACTTCTCTTCCAACCTGATTTTAAGAGCTGTGAAAGTTTTAGTCTATGGGGAAAAGTGGAAACAATGTAGACCCTGACATAAAATATAAGACAGAAAAGGTCCTCCCGGTGTTTTTGTTCTCACAGGAAGGACCAAGGTCTGGGAATAATAGAAACTGATTTTTCATGGTATCGCCTATGGAGTGCAAGGTAAAAACAACATTTGTCTTTTTGAATCTTTCCTAGTATTTCCTTTTTAAAATTATTAAGAAGATACTGAAAGTGAAAAAAAACTCACTACTTTTTACAACAATTCTGTAAATGTAAAAAGTAGTGTTTTCCTCTTCACGCTCCCTGCCCCCACAGATATCTAATGGTAACAGTTTGGTATGTATTTTTCCTGACTTTGGCCCACACTAATGTTGCATTCTCATTTTTTTCATTTCATAACAATGATATAAACAGTTGTAGGGCCAACGACTCATTTTATAATAAAGTAGCATTTGTAAGTGAGAATTGGTTTTTTTTTTTTTTTTTTTGGCCCCGTCCTGTGGCATGTGGGATCTTAGTTCCCCTACCAGGGATCGAACCCGTGCCCTCTGCATTGGGAGTGCAGAGTCTTAACTGCTGGACTGCCAGGCAAGTCCCTGGGCTATTTTAGTATTTTGACAGTTACTTATATTCGAAATGAATATGGTTAATTTTAAAGTTGTGGGAGACAATAAATACAACTAGAAGTAAAACTAGACCACTTATCATTCAATATTTCTTGATGATTTAGAGGTGGTTCGGGACGTGATGATTGCCCAGAACAATCATGAATATCAGCTGTGGAAAAAACACGCTGATTACCTTTCTGATTGTATGTGTTCTATGTTTGCTATGCTTTTAGTGCATCAAAATTTCCATTTTTTTTCAAGAGTATGTTTCCTTTCTGGATTGCTACCTACAGACCCATGAAAAATGACTTAGCACCCGAGAGTCTAGGTCGTAACTCCAAAAAAGTAACTTGCAGGAGAGGAGAAAATGAGCATCACAGCTTAGGACAGGGTTTCCCAACGTCGGCACTATTGATACTTTGGGCAGAATAATTGTTCATTATCGGGGGATGTCCTGTGCATCACAGGACATTTAGCAACATCCCTGGCCTCCGTCCACTGGGGTGTTAGTTGCACCACTAGTTGTGACGCGCAGAAATGTATTCAGACATTTTTATCCCCAGGGGAGGGGATAAAATCACCCCTGGTTGAGAAGTACCAAGTTAGGACAAGGGCATTTCAAAGTGACCATAGGCAATCTCAGTGTGTTCCAATTAATGCAGACAGAGCTCATCAATACTTGCTGACGTAAAATCAGGCACGAGGCATATTCCGTTACAGTCACAAACCCACCTCCTACTTCTCTCTCCTCGGTGGATGCAGAAGTGGTTAAACTGTGTCAATGATAAATTGAAATTGGTATATGTTCTACCAGAAAGGTGGAGTATTATGATGTTACTGTCAAACTGGGGGAGTGGGTAAAAGGATAGAGAGAACTACCACATGGTCCAGGAATCCCGGATTTGTGTATATATCTGAGAAAACCAAATCTGTATCTCAAAGAGATATCTGTACCCCTGTGTTCACTGTAGCACTATTCACAATAGCCAAGACATGGAAACAACCTGAGCGTCTGTCAATGGATGACTGGATAAGGAAAGTGTGAGAGGCATATATACACACATCAGATATATACACATATATGTACAAATATAATTCATCAGTACAAACAAGGAAATCCTGCCATTTGCAACAACATGAACGAACCTAGAGGACATTACGCTAAATGAAAATAAGCCAGACAGAGAAAGACAAATCTGTATGATATCACTTATATATGCCATCTAAAAACTAAAAAAGTTGAACTCATAGAATGAGTAGAATGGTGGCTGCCAGGGGTTGGGGGATGGGGAAATGGGGGGAGATGTTGGTCAAAGAGTACAAACTTCCAGTTATAAGATGAATGGGTTCTGGGGATCAATCCGATTGTATTGTATATGTGAGTAGATCTGAAGCATTCTCACCACATACACACAAAAAGTAAACATGTGAGGTGGTGGACGTGTTAACTGTGGTAGTCATTTCACAATGTACACGTCCATCAAATCATCACGGGGTACACTTTAAATACATACAATTCTGTTTGTCAATTATACCTCAATAAAGCTGGGAACATCTGAAGAATAGATACCTGTTATTCTTCTTATCTTGTCCTCTGTATCTGCAGCCAGTTTGCTGCATCTCTTAGCTGTTTCATTTTCCCTAAGGTTTCCTTTGTCAGTCCTGGCGCGCTTGTCTTATGCTGAAGAATAGCTTATCGACATTGTAGCTCAACAAGCTCCTGTAACAAAGCAACACTCCCGTCATCAGAAAATATTTATAAAGCGTGCACACGTGCGTGATGTTTGCCTGATAATGTTCATAAAAGGGATAAGCGGCAACCATCATCCAGTCAGTGACGCTTGAGTCACTCTGATATTTCCGACAGGGCTTTTATTTGCATGGTTTGGGTCGTTTTTTTCAGGTTGAAAAGATGCTCAGCTTTAGTTAGTCACAAATAAAATGTTTCTGTTACAAAATATCAAGGCTTTTTTCACGTTAAGTCAACGATTTGTCCTGAACTATGTTAAGGTCAGAGATAACAGAGGACAGAACTGAGCCAGTTCTGCCCGTGACAAACGTTTGGTTCAGTTGGGTCGAACAGCTGCAAGTGCAAGGTGAAGGTCAGAGAGAGTGGTGAAGGTTCAGAAGCAGCAAGGACACAGTATTTGGTTGGCACAAAGGTGAAAGGGGCATGAGGAAGGAAGGGAGGCAGGGAGGCAGGAGGGTATGAAGGGCTCCTCGCGTTTAGAAGAGAAATCTTCAGGGTCAGCCTGAGTGGTTGACAACTTGGAACGTTACACAGATGAATAACCACCAGACCCAGGAATGCACTATGGAAGTGGTAAAGGGTGGGCAGGAATCACCTTTCTCAACCTCTGTTCTACAGAAAATGCCCTCAACTCCCAAGTCAGTGGAAAATGTACCCAGCACATTAGGAATTAAGAGCAAGAGAATACACCAGTTACAAGAACACTTCAACCTCTTTCTTTTGCTTAAGCTGCTATATTAATGTGACCAACCAAAGATTTCCTGCTAAGAAAATGAGTTGATAGCTTCTTTCAGCAACCGAAATGAACAGGCCATTTTCCACAACTGTTTCATGAACTCACTCTGATTTTTGTAACTTGATCTATTCTCTTTGGCAGATGACTTTCACTTCTTTGTTTTGTGATTTAATTAGAGTAAAGGGATCAATCAGATTGTATTGTATATGTGGGCAGATCTGAATACATACAGTATAGACCCATGACATAAATTGTGAATGGTTGGAAGTTTAGGAAAAATTTGCCTAAGATGTCACTAGTAATATGGGATGCGTAGATGGGGCTAAACACTCTTACATAATCTGGCCAAAAACCTGTCTTCTTTGGAGACAGCACTCGACTTACAGGAGCATCTCCATGCCCAGCGGGGTCCCTACAAACATGCACTGCTGAGCATGGGCCAGCACTAAAGGAAATGCTGACAAATGGCACAAAAATCTGGGGTGAAGGGATTATACTTCAAAGAAGCACGGTTGTCTGCTCTTAGTGGCAGGGGTAGGACCAGCGACCTCCTCAAGGCCCCCAGCCTGGCGCTGGGCCGATTCAGCCTGAGCTCCCACACGGACGGCCTCGTCTCTATTCCTTTGCAACTTGGTCTGCAGCCGGGCAAGTCCACCCTCCAGCGCTGACTGTTGCTTTGCTAAATCCAGCTCAGTCTCCCGGGCCTGATTTTCAGCCTGTTGTTGATTGAAAGACCAGGAAGGAGACAGTCTCTCTATGTAACAAACAAGAAAATACATGATGTAATGAGCCCTCTGAAGACAAGCTAGGTGTAAAGGGAAAGGAAATCATTCCTTTGCTTTTTCTGTTCCTTAAAAAAATGTTATAAAAAATATTTCAGACAGACAAGAGGTTCTAGGAGAAGATGTGGCACATATCTGTGTACCCACCAGCTGGCTTAAGAATAAGTATTGCCAGTGAGCCGAGACCCTGGGTGTACCACCATCATCACCCCCTCCCCCACAAAGGTCACCACTACTCTGAATCTAATATTTCTCATTCCATATACTTCTACATGCTTTGAACTCTATCTTATTTGGTATTTCTAACAATATACAGTATTTTCTACTTTTAAACTTTATGCAAGTACATCATCCTGTGTATTTCTGCAGCTTGAATTTTTTAATTCAAAATTATCCTGGTACAGGTCACCTAAGTTAATTTGCATGACTCTTTTTATTCTTATTCTTTATTTTTTTAATTCTTTACTCACTTTTACCAATTGAAAGTGTTCCATTGTTTGAATATACAAAAATTTATTTTTCTATTTTCCGATGGATGCAGGTGGTTTCTAATTTTTTTCTCCCTTATAAACAATAACGAACACCTTATACTTGTTTCTTATTTCGGCGACTATACTTGTCACGTCTAGAAGTCTGACAGGTCATTTGTTATCTCTTGTCTCTTGTTCTTTGGTCAAACTTTCATGCCTTCTTTGATTTTTCTTACCAATAATGGTAATGCCCAAAGTCTCCTGCATTCTGACTCTGTTTACTGTTACAGATGGCCTCTTGCTTAAGGCAATTTGTTTCTTTATTGTGTGTTTTAAGGGAATCCTTTGAGGCTTGGTTTTAAGGTACACTCCTTTGGCAAGGATTTCTTATTGCCTCTGTCAGGCATCTGAGGGCCCTGACAACCCAGGACCACTTTAAATGACATTTCTAGCTTGGTTTACCAGGGCCACCCAGGTAGTACGAATTCTGGCCTCATCTCACCTGAGAGCCAGCTTGTTAATAATTCTTAGTGAAGACTCTCCCCCTCCATGTACAGGCTAATATCTTTACTGCCTCTTCCTCTCTCTGAAATAGTTTAACATTTCCTTGAGGGTTTGCCTTTTGGGGTCTCCTCTCTATGCAGGGGTCTCATCCCCTCCTTGCATGGGCTTCATTTTCTATTACTCATGGCAGCCAGGGAAACCAACAGCTTTAATACACCAGGGACTGACAGCTGCCCTCTGCCTGCCATCAGGTTCATGCTTCATTATCTGTCTCGATCATGTTTTCCGGTCATTATTGGCCTCTGAAGATTTCCTCCATTTTTTACCAGTTCAGCTGTGCATTTTAAAAATTGTTAAAATATCTAACATTTTCAGGGTTTTTTCTACTAGATGGCTCCTTGATATACTGCTCCACCATGCTGTTAGAAATCGAAGCCCCTTCCTAGGCCCTCGGGCATAGGTGGGAGCTTTTCTAGAGCAGGAATCTTGAAGCTTTTTCTGGAAAGGGCCTGCTAGTAAATATTTTACACTTCGTGGTCCATAAAATCTCTATTGCAACTATTCAACTCTGTGCCATTGTAGTGCAAAAGCATCCATGGACAATATGTGGCTGAATTCCAATAAAACGGTGTGACTTTTGATACAACAGTTGGTGGGTCCCTGTGGCCCTTGGGCTGTATTTTGCCAACCCCTGTTCTAGAGTAGATGCCTAGAAGGGGAAAACCTGGAAACCGTCTTTATTTTTTGCTCCTGTATATATGCAACCTCTTCATATCTGAGCTTTTTATTTCCAGGTGCATGACTTCCTGTGCTGGTGCTTTCTGCTTTTCTTTTCAGGATGCATGTACTTAGATATCTAAGACTCCGGGGAAGAACAGAGACTGAGAAGCTTGCAATCTGCTGGGAAGAGGATGTGCTGGAGAGAGATGCATCACAGACTCTCAGTCTAGGTCCTGTTCTGTCCTCCAGCTGCCAGGCTTCCTCTTCTGGATCTATCCCCTGGGTTAAACCGTGGCTTTATTCCTGCCAAACAGTGGATGGAACCCTTTCTTTCAGGTAAGATAGTCTTTCAGTCTTAGGAAACGCTCATGAGATTTCACGCATATTTTGTTATAAAAATCTGGCAACAATTAACTTAATTTCTTTGGTTGGTGAGCTTTCAGAAGTCCATTACTTTCCCTGGTATCAGAAGGGATAAATACTGCCCTCACATCTACCATTAATTAGCTGCGAGACGTTAGGTAAGTGACTTAACCTCCGCGAGTCTTAGTTTCTTCATCTACAAGCTGATGGCAACAACACCTGCTTTGTCCCCCAGGCTTGGTCAACAGTGAGATGAAATAATGCTGGGATAACTCTGTAGAACTCTGTTAATTAAACGCATGATACTATCATAATCTTATTTATCATCATAATAATTCCATCAGACAGGTAAGATGAGATATAAAAACTGTGCTGTCTTCACACTGAAAGTCTATTTCAGGTTAGTTTCAAGGAAGATAGAGAAATACCTGCAGTGCGTTCTTTTTTATTTTTGTTATCTGGGCAGTCAGCTGTGTGATGGTAGAATCTGCCCGTACTTGAGTGATTTGAACTTGTTGCAACTTATTCAACATTTTGTCGAGATTTAATAGAACATTTGCTGCTTTTCTAAGATATTAACATATCAGATTAAATAAATATACAATTATTCATTTATTTCACCTTGAGAGTTCATTCGACTCAACAAAAACTTTACTGAATTATTCATAAAGTCAACTGAAATCACTCTTAAGCGAGGCAAAGTGCTGAAGTCTTCCTCTTGAGACATAGGTACATTTAGATGCCAGTAAAAGCACATACATATGCATGCATAGATACAGATTTTGCCAGATATGGAAATCAAGGATACAGGTCTCGTTTCTTCTTAACTTGTCATAAGCAGAGAGGTTTGGGGGATAAAACTGCCAAGCTGGGAACAACAAAAAACTATCTTCGGCCAATTCCAGTTTTCTGATTTCTCAAACTTAAGTAACGCTCTTGAAATCCTGATTGGAGTAGGGGGCGGGGTAGTCAAGAGGCTCCAGAGGGAGCAAAAGAGAACGAAAGGCCCTGCGTTTTCAGGCTGTGTTTATTCAGGTTTATTTAAGCTTCGCTGACATTCCAGCTGCCCAGAGGCCCAGTCAGAGGTTACCATCACAAGCTTTCCAGGTGATAGTCTATTTTACAGAAGTGAGCACACCTCAAGTCAACATTCACCAGACACTTAGGTCTGTGGGCTCAGAGGCACCTTTGCAAGAAGGTACAAAGTCACGGAACTAGATCTTAGCAGAGGCATCATTAGAAATGCTTGTGTGAGAGCAAAAATAGCTAAATGGCAAAACAACCCCTTCCCCATCCAACCCAGCCTCTCCCCTTCCAGTGATAATCTTTCTCTCCGTTGAAGAGAAAAAAAAAACAAAACACACAACTTTTTTTTTTTAAGAGCAGTTTAAGTTCACAGCACAATTGAGAGGAAGGTGCAGGGATTTCCCACACACTCCCTGCCCTCACACATGCATAACCTGCCCAATTATCAACATCCTGCACCAGAGGGTCCATTTGTTACAAATGATGAACCTATACTGACACATCGTAAACACCCAAAGTCCACAGTTTACATTAGGGCTCACTCTTGGTGTTGTCCATTCTATGGGTCTGGACAAACATATAAATGACATGTATTTATCATTATAGTATCAAACTGAGTATTTCCACTGTCCTAAAATTCCTGTGCTTGCCTATTCATCCTTCCCCTCAACCCCTGCAACCACTGATCTTTTTTTACTGTGTCTCCATAGTTTTGCCTTTTCCAGAATGTCCTATAGTTGGAATCATACAGTATATTGCTCTCCCTTTCTATACTTTTTTTTCTCTACAATTACAGTGAGGGTTCTGGAGGCTTTCCTTCTCATAACTCACCCCTCCCCCATATCTTTTTACTGAATTCTTTTTTTCCTTTAGATTTTCAATGTACTGCTCATTATAGTAAATTTAGAAAGTACCCCAATAAAAGAAGAAAGAAGAAAAAAATATCAGGGAGGGAAAATTTACCAGTAATCCTACCACCTGTTAAGATATTGGCACATGCTAGCATTTTTGTCCTACCAGTTTTTTTCTTTTCATGATTGAGATCCTCTTCTACGTATAATCTGTTATATTCTTTTTTTTTTAATGAAGATTTTTTTAACATCTTTATTGGGGTATAATTGCTTTACAATGGTGTGTTAGTTTCTGCTTTATAACAAAGTGAATCAGTTATACATATACATATGTTCCCATATCTCTTCCCTCTTGCGTCTCCCTCCCTCCCACCCTCCCTATCCCACTCCTCCAGGCAGTCACAAAGCACCGAGCTGATATCCCTGTGCTCTTTTTACAAGCATTAACATTACACTGTAAGAATCTCTGCATGTTACTAAAAATCCTTCGTCAACATCATTTTTAATTGCTGCATGACTGTGTCCAGTTGCTTAATCTTCCTAGTTTGAAATATTAAAACCAGAAGGGGCTGGGCTTTCAGTGGAGTCTGATGCACTTCACTTGTAGAGGTGGATGATGAGACAGCGAAGGCAGCTCAGGTATCAACTCTGCTTCTGGGGGTCCAAAAATGGTGATGGGTGTTGATGATGGTACCATCATCCACTGACCCTATGACCTGGATTCACAGCACCCCATGATCATAAAAACATCAAGGTGGCTTTTCCTCTTTGCTTGGCTAAGTCGACAAGGGCAAAAGGAAGCAAGAGTTGGTTGACTTTGTGTACCGTATGTATCATTCTACTCCTGTATTACTCCTGGGGCACTAGTGTTCATTTCTTCTCTGTCTCACCGTCATATTTTTAATGTGATATACTTTCTTTAATCTAGATTTTCGAAGTACTGATATTGTAGTAAATACAGAAAGAAACAAAAGTAGGTATGCAAGACGTAGAGAATGGACTTGAGGACACAGGGAGGGGGAAGGGTAAGCTGGGACGAAGTGAGAGAGTGACATGGACATACAGACACTACCAAATGTAAAATAGATAGCTAGTGGGAAGCAGCCACATAGCACAGGGAGATCAGCTCGGTGCTTTGTGACCACCTAGAGGGGTGGGAGGGAGACATAAGAGGGAGGAGGTATGGGGATATACGTATATGTATAGCTGATTCACTTTGTAATAGAGCAGAAACTAACACACCATTGTAAAGCAATTATACTCCAATAAAGACTTTTTAAAAAATAAATAGGTATGCAAGAAAGGAAGAATACACAGACAGTCCCAGCACTTGTTAAGATATTGGCATATAATTAATACATGGCATTTATTGGTGTATATTGGTATAAGGAGATAACAGACACTGGAAGGGCATTCAGAGACTAAGGAAAACGGGAAACAAGCATCTCTGCACAATGCCTCCCAGCTTCCCAGCTTTCTGGGGCACCTCCACAGACAGCTTAGCCCTCATTTTGGGCAACGAACTATCAGAGGGTAATTTCATTTGAACGTTATAGCTCCTTAGGCAAATATTTTTCAGATGGCCTTTTGGCAGATGGCCTGTTAAGAGAAGGAGGAGAATATTAATACTGTACTTACTAAGCTGCTTTTGCCTTCACCAAAACCTTTCGGGCTCCATCTGCTGCTGTATGTAGCCTGTTCTCCTCTGTCCTGTAGTCCTCACAGAGTTGCAAAAGTTTCCGTATTTTGTCAAATTCATGGGTCAGATTTTGCGATGTTACTGGTAGGTGGATGTCAAGTACACGATTTGCAACCCTCTCTATGTCCTCTGGAGGCGCGTTATCCTCCTAAATAAGAAGATGGGTTTTGGGTAATTGTGTCTCCTTATCATTCTACCTTGTAAATATCACCACAATGAATTCTAAGTTAATTTGCATTTGATGATGTGTCCCTAGAATACAGGGATTATTGTATATGTCTCACAGATGCTTCTTCGTCCTCAATTTTCCCTTCTCTCTGAAAGAAATGCTGCTCATGTAAAGCTGAATTCATTCAATGCTTGTTGGAAAAACGAAAAATGACAGATTTGGAATACTGCGTGTGCTACAAAATGTCCTCACAAGAACTGCTTACTATAAGTACAGATTCAAAAGCAATTAAAATGTTTAGATGTCATTAAGATTCAAACACAATGGCAAACTATTATATATAGGATGGATAAACAACAAGGTCCTACTGTATAGCACAGGGAACTATCTTCAATACCCTGTGATAAACCGTAATGGAAAATATAAAAAAGAATGTACATATGTATAACTGAATCACTTAGCTATATAGCAGAAATTAACAACATTATAAATCAACTATACTTCAATTTAAAAAAAGAGACTCGGGCTTCCCTGGTGGCGCAGTGGTTAAGAGTCCGCCTGCCGATGCAGGGAACGCGGGTTCGCGCCCCCGTCCGGGAAGATCCCACATGCCGTGGAGCGGCTGGGCCCGTGAGCCATGGCCGCTGAGCCTGCGCGTCCGGAGCCTGTACTCCGCAACGGGAGAGGCCGCAACAGTGAGAGGCCCGCGTACCGCAATAAAAAAAAAAAAAAAAAGAAAAGAAAAAAGAGATTCAAATACCATGAATGAGACAATGGGGAAGCACTGGGTTTGGACTCAACAAAACTCTACTCTAATCCTCCATGACATTAAAAAGGCTCACAGTTTTTGCTCACCAGCATAATTGGGCAATTATAACTGATGCTGCTGCTCAAGGGCCTATTTTGAGAAGGGGATGCAACAAAACAGAGTAATTTACAGTATGATTAACGTACTATAAAGAAACTTTTAGGGAACTCCCTGGTGGTCCAGTGGTTGGCACTCTGTGCTTCCCTGGCAGGGGTCATGGGTTCGATCTCTGATTGGGGAACTAGGAGCCCGCATGCCGCCAAGTGCAGCCCGGGGACCGGGGCGGGGGGGAAGAAACCTTTAAATACATCTATGTCCTGCTTTTCAGAAGAATAAAATTGGCCCCCTTTGAGAACTAAAGTGCGTAAGATGGACTCTCGGTATGTGGGGTAATAGCTCTTTGTCTCTCTCTGGCTCCTTATCGAGGCACAGATGCTGACTGCCACGGGGGAAGTTAGAGATGAATCAGACACAGATCTGATCCTCAAGGGGTTCACCACCAAGTGGGGAATTATAAGTCACTTTAGATGATTACTGGTCCCTTAAGAACAGAAGTGATAAACATAAGCCAGAATGATGTGGGGTTCAGAGGCAGGAGAAAATACTTCAGGAAGAACTTCAAGACAGCATTTAAACTCGGTCTTGGAGGCCCGCACAGATTACATTTGTGGACACGTGCAGTGAGAAGAGGGGTAAGGGCATTCTCTGCCGAGGCCAAGCTCAGGGTGGAACAGGTAACAGTGCGTGGATCACTCCCGGCTGGCCAGTGGGGGGTGGGGGGGTCTAAAATAGTAACTAAAAAAGCAAAAAAGTGTCTAAAAAAGTTAAAAAAAAAAAAAAAAAGGAGTGGAAGTTCAGGAAGGCTGGGAGCAGATCACACAGGCCCCTAAATGTGAGGCTAAGGAAACTGGACTTCATTCAAGGGACAATGTGGGGACTTCCCTGGTGGTTCGGTGGTTAAGACTCCACGCTCCCAATGCAGGAGGGCCGCGGTTCGATCCCTGGTCAGGAAACTAGATTCCGCATGCGTGCCGCAACTAAAACCCGGCATAGCTAAATAAATAAGTAAATAAATATTTTTTTAAAAAAAAAGGACAATGGGAGGCCTGGATAGCTTTTAGTATTTGAGTGACATGACCCCAGTATACATCTTCTTTGCACTCATTTCTGCCTTAGCTATTCTTGTTTAATATATAAAAGGAATATTTAACTTCCTTTTTTTTTGGCCACACCCTGCGGCTTGTGGGCTCTTAGTTCCCCGACCAGGGATTGAACCCAGGCCCTGGCAGTGAAAGCACAGAGTCCTAACCACTGGACTGCCAGGGAAGTCCCAAAAGGAATATTTTACTTCCTATAATGTTTTTGAAAAAAATGTGATGAGAATTTTTCATGAATAAGTTAACACCATATTTTAAACAGAATCACGGAGTTGGCTCTTTCTAGAAATAGTAACTTTGTTAAAAAAAAGTTCTAATAAAAAGTGAATTGAATTTAACCCCGTATTCAGTCATGAAACATTTCTTGGCATTTATTGTGAGGTTAAAAATTCATATTCAAGTGATTATAAATTCACTTTCAGGAGAAGTGACACATAATTCTGTTAATAAGGAATTCAGACTGTAAGGAAAATATTAAGATGGTAAAAGAAGAGCTGAATAGTGTGGCCACCATAAATGTAATGATCATTTTATTTGGGCTTTATAGACAAGAAAAACAAAAGAACTGGGTGGGTGAAGGGCACTGCTTCCTGGTGACCAAGAGTCTTGGACCCTGACCAAGAAAGTTCTTCTTATGGAATAGGATTTTTCTTGATGTCTAGTCTAATTTTTATTGTAATAATCTGAGTTTTTTTCCCCTAATTCCTTAGGCTAATTAAAGTGACATTTTCATTAGAAACTTATTTAGTAGCAATGAGAACTAGTATAGGAGTAGGCTCTGTGACCATTGCTGGAACTGAGGACGCTGTGGCAGCTCTGATTTCGTTTTAGTTTTGGCGTCTGAATTGACTTGTATCTGCAGAAAGAGCTACCGTGTTCCTCACACAGTTCCTGGATTTGTGTCTAGTTAATATCAGTCCGTCTAGCTCGCTCACTGAAAACTTGCTTTTGAACAAACAAAATGTCCAGTTGACTGATCCCACACCCAATCATTTTTACTGCTTATTTTGGTCATTTTTACTGATCATTTTTACTATTTTTTTCTAATTTTGAAAATCAGGACTAAAGCTGCTAATACAATTTCTAGAAACAGTGAGATGGAAAGAATACTTGGCCACAGGGGTCTCTTACAAATAAACAGGTTTAATAAAGTGATTGCAAAGATTGTAACCGACATCCCAACTGTCTATTAATTCATGTGGAGAATATTAAATTATTGAATTTGGAAGATGGCTATAGGAAAGAAAGCCTCCTCAGATCAATTCCACGTAGTGTTGTACCCAAACGACATTATTTACCGAGAGCGAGATTTCCCATCAATTTCCAGCTGTACTATTTGATTTTTATCTTTAACTAATAGTTCTCTGGAGTTTAAAACAAACCTCTCCGAAAATAAGGCACAATGAAGGACACTAAGTTCAGAATTATAATTAATAATAATAATGAATCCAATAGTTCACCCTTTGGTCACAGAAAGCCAACATGAGTCTTGGAAAACAGTCAATAATAGTTATCTAAAATAACCAATATTTTAGACGCCACCTCACTTCAGTATTTGATATACTAACCAACAGCTGGCGTACCTTGATCTCACACACTCCATCAGCAGAGAAAGTTGTGGAATCTGACAGGGTCTTCATGTTAGATTTTCCTTGTTTTAAAAAAAATAACTTTAAAGACCAAGTTCACTTCTTTGGAATTCTAACTAAATTCTAGGATTTATTACTAAACTAATCTTACACAGAGAGCCATATTTTTTTTGATACAGAGTTAATATTTTGGAATTGTTTCCATGAAGAAATTTAAAATCAAGGAGTATATCATGTTTCTGATTTAGCCATGTCATTTTCAGTTAACGTAATTTGGAGTTGGTTGTGATGTTTGAGTATAAATTAAAAAAGGAAGAAAAAGGAGGAGGACGGGGAGAGAGAAGAAGAGGAAGAGTGTGGGAGGGACAGAAACTAGTCCTAATATTTTTTTTTTTAATTTTTTTTTGTGGTACGCGGGCCTCTCACTGCTGTGGCCTCTCCCGTTGCAGAGCACAGGCTCTGGACGTGCAGGCTCAGTGGCCATGGCTCACGGGTCCAGCCGCTCCACGGCATGTGGCATCCTCCCGGACCAGGGCATGAACCCGTGTCCCCTGCATCGGCAGGCGGACTCTCAACCACTGCGCCACCAGGGAAGCCCCAGTCCTAATATTAAAAAAAAAATTACCTAACAAGAACATTTTCAGTTTCTTGATTAAAAGACTCATTTTTTCTTCTTCAGATACACTTTGATTTTTCATATTCCTCAGTTTCTCACTTAGCTGTAAGGCATTGTTTTTGGAGACTTCTGCCAGTTTACTTATATTTTTGATCTGGAATAAGAAAAAAACGAGGCAAACATAACAATTAGGCACATTCTGTGACGTTTCCTTACTTAGCTGGACCAAATAGAGGTCACTAAAAATATAACAGAAGTCTACATGATTAAACAATAGATTCATGTTAAAGGACTCTTTTAAAAGTTGATATTATCTGTTTTCATTAACACGTTTTCTTAATAATGTGAACTTATCTCTTAAAACATTATTAGTGATCAAAATTGTTATTTGAAAACAATTATTGGTGTAGGACTAATGACTTCGTGATACAAATCGAAAACACAAATTCTGTTTTAATGACATGTCAGCATTCTATCATATCAGCAAATGTCACAGAACTTACAGTGATCATTATGTTTAGTAAGTTGAGAACATATTCTTTAATACAAGTTAAAATATTAAGTTTAAATAATAAGTTTAATATAAGTTAAAATACTCTTTTAAACATTCTTCTGATTCAGATAATGTACTTTCTTTGAGAGTAAAAAGAAAGCATTCTTCCTTTTAATAAACGAGTTTGAACTCAGAGCAGGCTACAAAGATAAAATTGCAGATACTGTGTACACTTGGTGGAGGAATGACAGAACTAAAATGTTTACAACCTAGAAGTGCAAATTCTTAACTGTGTGCTTTGAGAAAGGTCACGGACTTTTTCTTGGGATTCCAACAAATGAGAGAAAGAGAAAAAACAAAGAGAAATAGGACAATATCATCCGCAAGTTGAGCTGTATTCAACGAATCAACTGTGACAGAAGCAAGGCTAATTAGGATCAAACATAGTTAAGGAAAAAAGAAAATCTCACTTTATTTCCCCACAAAAATAGGCAGCCTAATTTAAGCCACACAGATTTTGTGGAAAAGGATTTAATGGTAGTCATTGGCAAATGATGAAACAAAAAGAAATATTTACATGATTAAAAATATGTAATTTAAGTTTCTGGAGTTGTTCCTTAATTCTCTAGAACTTTTTAAACTTTAAAATGGATAACAGTTGCTAAGAAAGATCTTAAAACTTCTCATCACAAGAAACAAAATGTAACTATGTGTGGTGATGAATGTTAACTAAATTTATTGTGCTAATCATTTTGCAATACATACATATATCAAATCATTATGTTGTATACCTAAAACTAATACAACGTTCTATGTCAATTATATTTCAATAAAAAAATAAAAGGGAGAAGCAGTGAGTAAGAATGCATAGAAGTAAGATGAGAATTCCAGAAATAAATACTCTGGACAGGAAGCACCAAATTATACACATGAAATCTCAGTGTACATTAGTTGATGCCATATTCAGAAAGAAAGATTGCTAAATTACTTCACTCTTAAAACATCTCTCTGCAATCCATCCTCTGTCATGACTCCTGAGAATTCTCTCATAATCTCTTCTGGCATGTTTCCCCCTTCTAATCAAGAGGAAAATAGCACATCATTTTATCAACATGACAACCCCCATCCTTTTCCAGTTCTCCATTTATGTGCTGATTAAGCCAGATTCTGCTATTATACACTTCAGGGGTTATCTCTTAAAAGTAATAGCTTAACACGGGGCTTATTTAAATGGTGTGAGATTTCTGGTTTTTGAGAAGGGGCAATATAGTAGTTTAAAATTACATTAAACCATTAAGGATTGTTTTAACCACAGGGATGCAGGACCAGGATTTGCGTTTGTTCACTGCTGTATTCCCAGCATCTAGATAAATGCCCAGCACGCAGCAGGTACTCAATGAATATTTGTTAAAGCAATGAAGAATAACATACAAGTGAAAAACTAGGTGGCAATATAGAATTATGACTATGTAAAAAAAATTTTTCAACATTTAGGATGTGTGGGGATGTTCTCTAACTTAATCAGAGACTCGCTCTGGAACTTGGATCCGGAGCCTGTGGAGCAAGCACGTAGGACCAGCCGGGGTTCGGATGCATGGAGGCGAGGCTCACGGAGCAAACTGGTGCTCTGCGTGTGCGCATGTGCAGGAGTGTGTCTCATCGCTGTGGTTCTCACCCCATTCCCAAGGCTGGCTCTCTATTCTCCTCTCACTTCTGAGACCCAGATGTCTTCCTTTTTGGTGAGGGGTTGGTTTCTGTTGCTTGAAAACAACAATGCTAACTGATATAATATTTACCTTATATTGGTAAAAAATTCAGCTCTTTTTTCTTCATCAAAGGCTCTATGTATACTGCCCCCCCCAAAAAAAAGCAAACTAGGGAGCACATCATCATATTGTTTTTTAAGCTGAACACAATGTATTCACAAAACACCTAAAATTGTATTCATCCTTTCCAGATAAATATAATGTATTCACCAAAAAACCCTAAAGAAAGATAGGTAATTAAAAATTATCCTCATTTATTAATATGACCAGAAAAGTAAATGAAACCATTTAAAATTATTAGAGATTCCATTATCAGGTACTTGAATATTAAAACAACTTTATCGTGTCTATCAACATAGGAAAGAGTTCAAGGCATTAAGAGTATATTCCCCTTAAAATATTTTCTAATATTAAATTAAATTCTAACATCAAAATTTGTCTATTTAGTAGAATTTCAAACATGCCCTTGAATTTATGAAAAATATTCTTTACTTTGACAGCTCTATAGTTTGAAACCTTCAAGGCTAGGAGTTTACACATTTCTGTGCAGTGTTTGCTATAAAGGAAACCTATCCACACAAGTCTGTATATGTCCTACAAACATATACTTTGAGGTTTTTCTCTTCTTTCTCACCATATACACGCATACACACTATACATATATATGAGAAAATATATGAGAAAATATATCAATATTCACAGCTACTTCTAAATCACCATTCATATCCACATCTATATTTTTATTCTATATTGTCAGGCACAAGAACACCTAACATCTAGAATCTACCCTTATTACTTAGAAGTTAAATGGAAATTTAAAAAATTTCAAATAGTTTGCTTTTCTAATTGCTATTAATTTTACAAATAAAGCATGAGAAGACATCGTTTACCTGATTTTTCAACCCTTGAACTTGGCTGTTCAAATTGCGAATCACGAACTCTGCTTCCTGAGCTTTGTGGAGGGTGTTCCTCGAGAGGGTCAGGAGCCGGGACAGCTCGGGCCACCACAGGACAAGAGCACACAGGGCATGTTCCCTCCTCCATACACCTGACAGGAGAAAGTATCTATGTTAAAAAGCAACTTGTTGGGGCTTCCCTGGTGGTGCAGTGGTTAAGAATCCATCTGTCAGCAGTGCAGGGGACACAGGTTCGATCCCTGGTCCGGGAAGATCCCACATGCCACGGAGCAACTAAGCCCGTGTGCCACAACTACTGAGCCTGTGCTCTAGAGCCCGTGAGCCACAACTACTGAAGCCCGCGTGCCACAACTACTGAAGCTCGTGCACCTAGAGCCCGAGCTCTGCAACAAGAGAAACCACGCAATGAGAAGCCCATGCACTGCAACGAAGAGTAGCCCCTGCTCGCCACGACTAGAGAAGGCCCGCATGCAACAATGAAGACCCAATGCAGCCGAAAATTTTTTTAAAATTAAAAAGAAAAAGCAGCTTGTTGGCAGAGCTTTTTCTGACATCCTCCAGGCTCACCAAGGCAAGACACTGCTCTATTCATATGTGTTTCTTCAATAGTTGCTCACACTTAGTACATGGATATGACTGATTAAGTATTTCCTAGTTAAGTGAATAAATATCTAACTTATTTGTTATCAGCATTTGGGCCAATGAATGTCGCTTTTACACTTATAGTTTTGGGGGAAATAGTCACATGTCTAGCATTTCCATGTTAATTTCATTTTTTTTAAAAAATAAAAAGTACCTTTTACTTATGAGGCAGGAGAAGTAAATGTCCATAATCTGTACCAGTTGAGAAAAAGTAAATAGCATAAGATAATAAAATCAAGCCACAATCTTTACTCTTTGATTTTTCTCAAACTTTAAGAAATAAAAAATAAAATATAAATATTTATATTATTTTCAGATTAAATATATATTATTTATAGATACTTTCTACACTTATAAAATATAAATAAAAAAATAAAATGTAAGACAGGGAAATACAATCGAAGAGGTCTGTATATCAAGTAGAAACCACAAACACTTTGACTATACTGTCATGAATATTTACCTTTTCATGCAATGTTTGAATATCTGGTATCTGGATCTGCTTTAATTTCTCCAATGACAAGTTTTCTTTTGAGGTTAGTGTATCTAAGATGGTAAGTAAGTCATTCCTGTTTTTTTTCAGAGTTATCTATGATGGAAGTAGTTTCATTAGTTTTCTTTTCAGCAGATAGAGCTCTGGTAATACTTCCTGATGCTCTTTGAGGAATCTACATCAACACAAATTGAGGTAAGATAAATTTTGTGAAAACAAATGATATTATACATGGGTTATCGAGATAATCATTCCCCAATTTGACTAGACTGTCTTGGTCTCAATGATCAATACAAAAATTCAACATCCTCTCCCTTGAATTTGCACTTAACAGGGAAGTAAAGAGTAAGGAATTGGGCTTCCCCGGTGGCGCAGTGGTTGAGAGTCCACCTGCCGATGCAGGGGACACGGGTTCGTGTCCCGGTCCAGGAAGATCCCACATGCCATGGAGCGGCTGGGCCTGTGAGCCATGGCCGCTGAGCCTGTGCGTCCAGAGCCTGTGCTCCGCAACGGGCCACAGCAGTGAGAGGCCCACGTACCGCAAAAAAAATAAATAAATAAAATAAATAAAGAGTAAGGAATTTGTTCTCATTCCTAATCTGGAAGAAGGTGCCCACTGAAAGAACTGAAAATCTGTCAGCAGTCACCCAAGACAGGCAGAAGAAAGCAAAAGTGCCCCTATGCTGATTTTCTCAAACTTGCAGATGTCGCATCATAGATATACATGTAATAGCTACAGAGCACTGAGGCTTAAGTTTGCAGACATGCGTTTGATTGCTGGCTTCTCCCTTTACTGTCTGGGTATGGCCTCGAGCAAATCTGTTAAGTCTCTTAGATTGTGTTTCCTTATCTGTGAACTGGTGATGATCATTTGTGGAGATTAAGTGAGATGATATAAAGACCCTCTGTGAAGTGTTCCCCAAATGTAAGGTATTAACTTTGACCACCCATATGAATCTAATATGATGAAACAACTAAGTTCACCTCACTGTATAGAGCAGGAGTTGACAAAGTCATTCTACAAAAGGCCAGAGAATACATGTTTTAGGCTTACCTGCCATCACATTGCTGTCACAACTACTCAGCACTGCCACTGTAGAGTGACAGTAGCCACAGACACCACATAAATAAATAGGCGAGGTGGTGGTCCCCTAATGAAACTTCATTTACAAAACCAGGCTGTGGGTAGCATTTGCGGGCAGACTGTAGTTTGCTGACCTCTGATGTTGAGGCTGACGACAACAGCTAACGCGCTGAGTGCTTTCTATACACCTGGCCTTCTCATCAGTTCTCATCCTTGATCTCCACAAAACACTGTCAAGCTGGTTAGCACGACCACCACCGGTTTTACCAGTGAGAAAAGGAGGCTCTGATGATAGCAAGGTCTCACTGATAGTATGATGTGAAGCCAGGATTTGAAGCCAGGTAGTTGGACTCTAGAACCTGTGTTCTTAAACACTTCTCTGTATTTTCCATATTGTAATGAAAACACAAATCCCTGATAGTGATGAGGGATGTTTTAATGTAAATGAGAGTATCTTAGGGCTTTAAACTCTTCTAGGAACCAAAGGCCCAGGGTTCTGATCTTTACTCTTATGTAGTCATAATCCAGGCATGACAACCACACTTTATCTTTTCAACATTCCTGGTTTTTACACTAACGGACTCACTATATTGTGATTTTCATTTATTATGAACCGCCTACCCCCGCCCCCCCCCCATCTCACACACACACAAACGAACAAAAAGCCATGTTTCTATTGCTTGGAATGATTTTCTGCCTTGATTTATCTGGCAAATTTATCTTTATTCTGAGAGGCCTTTTCTAATAGACCCAGGAAGAACTCCATTCTCTCTACTCTGCTCCCGAAGTAGCTTGAAAATGTTCTGATAGAGTCTTTTCATTGTTTGGGCATTGTTTATACGTCTGTCTTCCCCCCACAAGACTGGGATGACTTAAGGGTGAGACTTACTGCCCGTCTCTGCTGTTCAGCACAGTGTCAGGCATCGACAAAAAGCCCAGTAATTGCTGTTGGACTGCAAGTTTGAGAGAATCAGCGTGGGGCAGTTTTGCTCTCTTCTACCTGGCCTGGGTGACTGCTGACGGATTTTCAGTTCCTTCAGTGGGCACCTTCTTCCAGATTAGGAATCGGAACAAATTCCTTACTCTTTATGTAGCATTTATTGAGCGTCATCAACAGTGATTTCATCAAATTTAGGCCTTCCTTTAGGGTCATAATTGCCATCTGTTTTTTTCTCTTTTAGCTCAAGATCAGATGACAAACAGGACCATAGACATAGGATGAGGAAAAGCAGACAATGTTTGTGCCTTGAGATAGGTTTCACGTATATTTTCCCTTATACCGCTCAACTAGATGGGTTTGGTGTGAATAAGTTCGGAGCTGCCTCTCCTGGTACTAACAAGCTGTCTGTCCATTTCCAAACATAACAAGGATCTCATGGGAGATCAGCAGATGAGCTAATGCAAGTTCTGCTTTAGAGTTCCATTTCTCCTCCAAGTTGATTTTGGCATAATTCCCGTTCATTTTTAAGAATTATGCAATATGAATTACAGGCTTCTAGTATGTTACACGTCTCCAAATTCCTACAAAGTTCTTAAGAGAAATTGTTTAGGTCCCTTTTGCCTCATATTTCTTTGCATTTGTGGTTGCTGGAAATGGAGTGGCTTATACTCAGGAAGGTACAGAAACATGGCTCTCTCATTTCCTTATGGCCATAATAGAATTTCCAAGCTGCTGATTAAACGAGACCCTAGCATGGTTTGGCATCACAATACTTTGGGTTTCAGTGTTTGTTTAGTATCGCAGATTGTTAGCATTATTTTGTGCAAATGCTATCTGTCTCTGCAACGTTTTAAAAAGTTGAAATACTCATGCACAAATAATACCTTTAATGGGTGTGTTTTCACGTTCTAAAGTGCTCAGGTGCTGTGGCAATAAGCACAGGGAGATTCACTAATGGAATGCACTATGGATTTTATCAACTCCTGTCCAGAAACAGACATTTGAGGTGCATTTTCTCTCTTACCCATGATGCTTGCATTACGGGCACGGGAGTGCAAATCAATTTCTTCTTGAAGATCTTCAAGTAAGAGGTTCACTTTATTCCTCGTTCTTCCTCTTCTTTCTTTCAGATCTTGAAATTCATACACTGTTTTCCTCTGGTCACTTAGTTGAATGATTTCTTTCCTATAGGAGAAAATGAGAGTAAATGTAGCTAAGCTTATATTACATTCGACAGATTGTGAAAAAAACACAAGTAAAGAAATTGCCCTTGGACTTCCCTTGGTGGCACAATGGTTAAGAATCCGCCTGCCGGGCTTCCCTGGTGGCGCAGTGGTTGAGAGTCCACCTGACGATGCAGGGGACATGGGTTCGTGCCCCGGTCCGGGAGGATCCCACGTGCCGCGGAGCGGCTGGGCCTGTGAGCCATGGCCGTTGAGCCTGCGCGTCCGGAGCCTGTGCTCCGCAAGGGGAGAGGCCACAGCAGTGAGAGGCCCGTGTACCGCAAAAAAAAAAAAAAAGAATCCGCCTGCCAACGCAGGGGACACTGGTTCGATCCTTGGTCTGGGAAGATCCCACATGCCACAGAGCAACTAAGCCTGTGCGCCACGACTACTGAGTCCATGTGCCACAACTACTGAGCCCACGTGCCACAACTGCTGAAGCCCTCACGCCTAGAGCCCGTACTCTGCAACAAGAGAAGCCACCACAATGAGAAGCCCACGCACCGCACCAAAGAGTAGCCACTGCTCGCCACAACTAGAGAAAGCCCACACGCAGCAACAAAGACCCAACACAGCCAAAAAATAAATAAAAATAAATAAATAAATAAAATAATAATAATGAAAAGATTGCCCTCATTATTAGGTATCCTCATACTTAGGATGGATTTCCCCCCCTCCAAATTTTCATTTGACAGTTTACGATTGTTTACGCTTATCTCTTTCTTGTTAATTCCGCTTCCTAGAGTATTTCAGCACCCATTTAAAATGGTTTTGTAGCATAAAGGTTTTTGAATCTTTCAATTTCAGCTGTTTATACTCTGTCTCCCTTTACTTTGGTTTTCAAAAACACGTATTCAGACGTGGTTCATTTAAATCAGTCTAAGGGAGCCAACCTATATTAGGCTTTTAACAGAATCCCTCACACAGACAAGGATAAAAATCAGTACCTCATTTAGAATAAATCTGCTTCCAGCAAGGTTCCTTTTACTGTTACTTCTGCACAGTGTCTTAAACTTTGAATTTCCACACGTGACAGCTTTCCTTGCTGGTGAGTGTACATTCGGGTGTGTTCTTTCTACATCACCTTTGATGGTGTCACCTTTGTCCCACTTCAGTTGGCTGGGTTCAGCAAACACAGTTGGTTCAGGTGAATAATTAGAATATGCCTCATGAAGGGGAACTGAGGTACAAATCTTGAAGAGTACAGTTCAGGGAAGCTACAATACAAATTTACGGGACTAATTTATCTTGGTATGACTGCAAAGTATTAACCAATGCTTCCTAGCATTTTCTGCTCTCACTCTCCCTTCTAATCTACAGACTCTTCCTTCAAGCTCCAACTGTCAGCACTGTAATTCTTCTGGCTAATAACAATAACAGTACATACTATTATTATAGCTGGTACTCTTAAAGCACTCACTATGTGCCAGACACCATGCAAAGTGGCTTGTCTTGAGTGATTCTCACAAGAATCCCATGAAACAGAGACTTTAACCCTGCTTTTGATGAACAAACTGAAGCTTGGAGAAGTTAAGTAACTTCTGAGGCCACACAGCAGCAGGTGGATTTGAACCACAGTAGTTTGACTTCTCAATCTATGCTTATGATATCTTGGCTTCTCTGTCCTCCCCTTCCCCTTTGATTTGTAATTTACCCAACAAACATTTATTACTTAACTAAACCAGGCCTGAAGAAAGGTACAGAGAAGGCAGCTTTGCCCAGAGGAGTCCCTCAGTGAGACAATGGCTGAGCCGAAAAGACGTGGGAAGATGCAGAAGGAAACACATCCTCTCTCAGGAGGTCAGGGAAGGCTTCAGTGACGGGGCGGTGTCTGGGTGCTTGTTGTAGAGAAATAGGAGTTTAGCAGGTGGACCAAGATGGGGCAGGCTTTCCTCATGGCTTCAGGCCTGGCCCCGGGACTCCGGCTCCTCTTGCTTTCTTCTCTCTGGTTCTGCTCGGGGCTCTTGCAATTACCTCTATCTACAGCATCTACTGTGGATTGGCTCCTTCTGCTTTCTCAGTTCCACTTCATCCGCCATGATAACTTATAACCACAAACCAGTGGTCCATGAGCCACAACTCATTCTCAGACAAGTTTCTTTGGCCTCTACAGTGCTTTTTGAAAGCACTACTGGATTAGCTGCCTCTATTTTAAAGTGGGGACGTTTCCATAAAAATCTGGATGTCTGACATTGTTTAAAAAATGAGGAGATCTGGAAACCTGGGGCCACAGTCTTTACCAGGGCATAGAAGTGCCTGTCCTCACCTGCCAACTTGACTTGGCTATGTGATATCTCTGGGCCCTATAGCTTCGGTTATGATGCAGGTGGCCCTTCCTCTGAACTATCCAGGTGAGTTGTATCATCCTCCTTGTGTAACTTTTAAGCAGTTGCCATATACTTCAGGATTTTTTGTCTGGTGATAACGAATGGCCTTATATTTATGCTTGTGGGTTTTTGTATGTTTGTTTGTTTGTTTTTGGCTGTACTGGGTCTTCGTTGCTGTGCTCAGGCTTTCTCTAGTTGCGGCGAGCCAGGTCTACCCTTTGTTGTGGTACGCGGGCTTCTCATTGCAGTGGCTTTTCTTGTTGCGGAGCGCAGGTTGAAAGCACTACTGGATTAGCTGCCTCTATTTTAAAGTGGGGACGTTTCCATAAAAATCTGGATGTCTGACATTGTTTAAAAAATGAGGAGATCTGGAAACCTGGGGCCACAGTCTTTACCAGGGCATAGAAGTGCCTGTCCTCACCTGCCAACTTGACTTGGCTATGTGATATCTCTGGGCCCTATAGCTTCGGTTATGATGCAGGTGGCCCTTCCTCTGAACTATCCAGGTGAGTTGTATCATCCTCCTTGTGTAACTTTTAAGCAGTTGCCATATACTTCAGGATTTTTTGTCTGGTGATAACGAATGGCCTTATATTTATGCTTGTGGGTTTTTGTATGTTTGTTTGTTTGTTTTTGGCTGTACTGGGTCTTCGTTGCTGTGCTCAGGCTTTCTCTAGTTGCGGCGAGCCAGGTCTACCCTTTGTTGTGGTACGCGGGCTTCTCATTGCAGTGGCTTTTCTTGTTGCGGAGCGCAGG